TTTTTTTTTTTTCTGTATCTTTTTTTTGTAATGACTCGGTTTACAGGCATTTGGGGAACAATGCAGAGCTCGTGGTATTGAAAAACGCGGGGCATGCGATTAATATGGAGAAAACAAAGGAATTCTATAGACATTTGAAGTCATTTCTTGCTTTGCCAGCAGGTCTTAAGCTCGAGGGCAGTGACAATGGCTGCAAGGTCGAATAAAATATTTTTCGAGCTGTTGATTATACGAGTCAGCTTGCAATTGTTGAAGTTCATATGAGTCAGTTTCTCAAGGAAGCACAACAGGAAGTACGTGGATTGGGAATATATTGGAAGTGTAGAAGCAAATTCACGATGAAGTATAAAGAGTCGCTAATATATGATAAATTAGCTGATAGTTGATAAGTGAATTCCGGGCGCTTATAACTGATAGTTTATGACTAATTGCTGAAAAGCTAGTTGATATGATAATAGTTTTTGGGTAAATTAATTGATAAGTCAGCTGAAATAAAAATTTCAAATGACTTATTCGAAAAATCACATATAGAAGTTTATGAGATAAGATGGAATATTTTAAAAATTTCAAATGACTTGTTTGTATAAGACGTTACCAATAACGAGGACGAGGATTTACACGACACATAAATATTTGTTCTTCGTTCTTACCCAAGCAAGATTTGCATCAAGATTCAATATGTGCCCAAAACAAGGATCAAGTAGCTCATGCACATTCGAGTCAAAGCACAGTTTGAACTCGAGCACTTCGAGCTCTAGCCGAAATGTTATAAACTCGAGTGCTTAGCAAGCCACTCGAGTATAAATCTAAATAACCCAAATATGACTTACTTGGCTCAATAAGGCCGATACTCGGCTCAGCTCGTTTGCACTATATAGCTTGAGCACAAAACTCAAAAGCATGCATGGTGGTATATTCAACATAGTTTTATTTTATTTTCAACGGAAAAATCTTATAGAATATGTACAATTTGTTCAGCCTAATCGTACCTTCTCATTGATTTTACAATCAAAAGCCCACAATATCGATTAAAATTCTGCATGATATTTATTTATTTTGCAGCAACAACATTTTTAAGCAATGCCTCTAAGTCTGCCAATCTACACAAACAAAATCCAACAGGCGAAAAAGAAAAAAATCGGGTGAAAAAGATTTCTAAAGAAATTATTAGTTTAACTGGGAGGTATATTTATATGTATACATTACCTGACATTGCTCAAGTCAGGGTATACTGATGCTGCCTCTTTAAAATCCTACATAGGAAAAACCGTGAATCAAGTCCATGAAATCACTATTTCCCGAGAAATTTATTATACCATATTTTCTACTACTAATTTATTTTTGCTGAATGAAGCAGAAAAGGAGATTTTTTATTTTTTTTTTTACTTTTCCTTTTACCTGGTTAGCAGTGGATGGTGTATAAGAGATTACACACGACATTCCTGCTCCAGTTGCGGCCTGTAATAAATTTAGCTTGGCTAAAAATGGAGTTGATTTGTGCATATAGAGATAATTTTTCGGCAATTTGCACGACTACTGAAGGCACACGCACGTGCATGTACAAAGAATGACTCGAGAATACGATCTTATGTATAGGCAATCAACGAGATTTTCGGGTCTTGGAAGCTAAGCTTGGTTCAGTTTTCATCACAAACGGCCTGCCATTGCCGAAAATTTATAGCCATGATACAATAACATAACATTTGGGGTCAAAATAAATTATATTGAGTGCACCCATTCAATTGGAGTAACATGTATAATAGAAAAATTTATATTAAGGGTGAGGATAATTCATAATTTTGAAATATACTTTGCTTTCTTATTGGAATATAAATATTATGAATCAAAACGAACCAAAATGGTATTCTGCTACAATTAAACGCTCGTATACTTCTTGACCACTCAATATCTCAAGATCTATCAGCAATAGAGAGCTCTTAGCTTTTATAACAATAGTCGTAAAAATCGAGAAATTTTGATCATAATGAGAATGATATAAACCTGAAGTCCGATGACACTATCTTCTATGACCAAGCAATCCTTCTCTGAGATTCCCAGTCTCTGTGAAGCATAATAAATTTATCATGGCATAAAACAAGTTAAAGAGGGAAAATTGTAAGTTATTAGCAGCTCAACATAATGAAATTTGATTCTAAATCACCTCGGCAGCTGTCAAATAAATCAAGGGATCGGGCTTTTTCTCCTTGACATCATCCCCTGCGGAATCAACACGACAGGAAAGGAAAAATGATCTCCAAATGTTATGTATATATAGTTTTTTTTTTTATGCTGGTTCGTCAAGAATAAATCACCAGATAATCTCGAAATGATCGGCCAATGCAAAAATGTAGTATAAAAAGGTGGAACAAGAAAGTTTCAGTTTTTCGTACATACCTGCAAGGAAGCAATCAAGGCTTTGGAATCGCTCCTGTAGCAAGACAATAGAAGATCACTGAATTAACCAGTAAATACAGATGAAATTTCAATTTCAAAGAATTTTCCCACGAATACAATGTAAACGAAATTAACCAATTTCAAGTGGAATAAGCTAGAGAACCTCTGGTGATCACTTGAGAGAGAAATTTAATATTACAAAATACAATAACATTTGTTGTTTTGGTTTATATGAGATTTGGGCTATGCTTAGCCATCAATGCCCTGGTTTTTCTATAACTATATATTCCAAATTTAGGAATAAGTACAAAAAACTAATAATTAAGTAGTTTAATCACATAAAGTAACTCAGATATCTTTAACCTACAAATACCTCCTTGAGGTTCTTATTAATTGCGCAATTTACGTGCCCGATTACATGCAATTTGCAAAATAGAGATACATGTCAAAGGTATTATTGTGAGGTTGAATATCACAAATAAAAATAAAGACCTGACTTTACCATTCCAATAAGATTTTCCAGACAGAGGATAACCGAACTTTTAGTTGCAGCAGAGCAAACTGCCAGTTTTTTTCCCTACGAGGCAAAAGATAACCAGATAAAGTGTAGAAATAGAAAAATAGTAAAATTGGCACTCTATCATGCAAACTGGAGATGACATCAAGAAATAATACACGAACAATGTTTATAAAGGCCACTGAGTATTGATGAAACAGGGGAAAACCGGATAAGGTTAGAAGCTTATGAAATGCTAAAGGAATGCAATTTTTAGACTGAAAAACTTTCTTACAGACGCTTTTGCCTCATCCATCAATCTCAAAACTCCAGGTCTTGGCTCAACCTGCTCAATGCGACATAATCTAGTTCGTCATCGAAGCAAATAAAAAAATAATCAACAGAAAGGCCTGATACTTCCGTTTACAAGAGAACCTTTAAAGATAGAACTTGAACAAGAAAACACTGCAGGTGTTAACTTACTGTTCCTGATTTAATTATTTCTTTATACCTCTCTGTTTTCCAGTCCTGCAGTAAAGGAATCAATTTCTATAAATATATAACCTAATTGAACACATAATTTAAGAATATAGACAACTTCACGAGCACGAGAAATCAATTGTCTACAAAATCTATACTTAAATGGACCTTGACCATACACATTTGTGGTTTTCCGGATAATTTTGTGGGGACTATGCACTCGAAGTGGCAAATTATGAATTTTGTGAACTTCGTGCTGCATTTTACCCAAAATATACTTTAGTTGCAAAAGCAAAATACATGTATAGTACAAATTGTAGGGAACTACTACAGTCCCGTTGACGGAATGGTTCCGTCTGTGTTGGTTACATACAGTAGATTATCCATACAACATAATTTATATGTGTATCCAATGGTAAAAAACACTGACGGTACCATCTCGTAATGGGACCTTAGTATTTTCCCAAGTTGTAATTATTTAGCCTTTCTTAATCATTTCCTCTATGTGGAAGAGCAGGTCAACATTTTCATCTGCATGCATTTGGTGAAAAAAAAAATCCCCAATTTGCTTGAGTTAGTAACAAAACTCTTTAATTGCATAGCAAAATAAGATCATTCATATTCCAACTATCGGCAGAAGCTACAGTGCCCAAAGGAAATGAAGAACGGGAGAAGAACAAAACCAGCTTAAATTCATAATTGAAACCTGAAGAACATCAATCAATGCCGCTCTATCTTCGTCGTTCACCGGCGATTCATCGAAAATCGTTGAAGTCGGCCAGCCATGCTCCTTAAAATACCTTCAATCAGATCTCCAAAATTAAACGGCAGCAATGAAAAGAACTGTATAAAGGGCACAAACAGCGCAAGAAACTCAAAAACGAACCATCGCATTTTAGGTTTGCCTCCTCCAATTTGGTTCTGCAGCTCGTCGTAAAACTCTTCGCTCCAATTGAGCGGCGAAGGTGACGGCGAGGACGGGCAGCGGACGTTGAAATGCGCGAAGGCGTCGTTGTAAGCTTGGCGGTGGAGGTGCTCGGACTCCAGAATCACGCCGTCGCAGTCGAATATCAGTGCCTGGAGCGCGCGGGACGAGGCGGAGACGGCGACTGCGATTGCGACGGGTCTGCCGGCGGCGGCTCGTGAAGCGGCGGAGGAGTAGGAGGAGGAGGAGAGGGTGGTGTGGGTTCGGGAGAGAGGGAAGAGAGATGGGGCGGCGCGAGAGGAGAGGGAGAGGGAATTGGAGAGATTGGGTGGGAAGAGGAACATGGTGGAGGCAGCCATGGATAGTGCGTGTTGTGTGTGTGTGTGTGTGTGTGTGTGTGTGTGTGTGTGTGTGTGTGTGTGTGAGTGTATGTGGCTGTTGCAGGTTCTTGCAGTTATTTCAATTTGTATTTTTCGTTCTTTTTTTTTTTCGTCAAATCAATTAAATAAAAATGATATAAATTATTCTGAATTTGATTGTATTTATTTGGTAAACCAAATTAATTTTGAAGATAGTTGATTACGTGGAGTGGAGGCACAGTCTTTAAAATCGGCCTGGAAATCGACTGGGGGACAATCCTCCGGGTTACCGAATCAGGTGTTGGGTTATCACGTCAATTACTGAATTGGATAATTAAGTTTAAAACTATATGTATTGTATTTTTATATATAAATATACATAAAAGTAATAGAAAAAAATATTTTATATATAAATATTATAAATCAAAATGTTTATAATATTATATCTTATAATAAATATTTACAATATAAACATTTATACATAGTTTTTATTCTTAAAAACATATGTTTAAGAAGCAAAAGAAAAAAGGACTGGGTCAAACTGGGTTGACCCAATCGAGTCGATGCCTGAGTCAAGACTGGGTTGATCGAATTTTGACCAGCTCTGAAGTCACCCGGTCCAAAGCACCCATCCGACAAGCCCCGATTTCGAGTCGACCCGTCGGACAAGTCCATGTTGAAAAATTGAAGGCGGAATGTTGAGTAGGATTTTTGAATTTGTATCAATAATATTTAAATAAAAAATTAGTCTGACGTAAAAATAAAAAATAAAATAAAAAAATATTGAAGATGATATGTAGTTAAAATCAAATAAATAGATGAATAATGAGTTAAAGTTAATGTGATGTGTAAAATTATAAATATGATCGATTGGTATTTTTAATTATATTAATAATATTTATCAGAGCTAGATTGAAGTAATTTGAATTAGAATTTGAGTTAAAAATTTATAAAAAATATTATTCGATTAGTCATACACGAATATCCAATCACTAACTACATCCCATATTAAAACTATAAAACGACTGATGAATTCATGAACTTTTTAAATTAAGGAAGATACTACGGTCCCTTAAAAAAAATATATAAAAAAAAAAAAAAATTGAACATGCACACAACATCCCCCTATATATTAATACAGAATGCGCTGAGCCTACGTGGCTGCTTCTGGTGCTTCGGAATCCTATGTGGCAAAATTACATGCTTCGTTATTAGGCTTGGGTAAATTTTAATTTAATTCCAAACCAAAAATAATTAGGTTCGGATTACCATAAATATGTTGATTATTTATGGTCATGTTACATATATTAATTGTATCTTAATATCATTCCTTATTATAACTGTTGAATTGTATATATATTTTAAAAGTTAATAACTTTTGTAGTTTTTATCAGTTTTACATATGTAATATATCAAATTAATCTTCTTTTGATGAGCTTTGATTTAACATCCATATTGTATGTATAAAAAAAATAATTTATATTTATCTTTATAACAATAATAAAATTATTTTTAATATTAATTAGAAAAATAAAATTATTTATCAATTAATATATTTATATTTCAAGTAGTTATATGATATAAGTTATAAAAACTAATATAATATAACACATGTAAGTCATAAGTAACACATATCATTCTAATATATATAGTAATATATTTTTTTTGTAAAAAAGTAAACTAAATTTAATATAATTTTCTCATTAATTTTAAAATTTAAGAATAATTTTTTAACAAGCACCCGTGTAATACACGGGTATTGTACTAGTATGCATGGCAGCTAAACAAAATTCTACATCAAAAACACATCCTAACAAAATTGGATTCCTACAGAATAAACATTAAACCTGCCTACCAGTAAAAAAAAAAAAAAAAAGAAAAAAAAGCAGACATACACAATCACTGTTGCTGTAAAAAGCTACAACTTCTGTGTCGAAAGACGAAATCATATTGCCATATACAACAAAGCATAGACCGAAATCCATCAGCCAAAAATAACAAGCAGAATCTCTCACCAGTTTTGCAGCTCAGATGAGATGCTCTTCACGACTGGATGATATTCAGTGTGAAGATGTCTTTTGGCTACCTCTGAACCCGGTTGGCCGAGCCACTCATTGTACAATCTCTTGATTCGAGGGTTTTCAAAAGGATCGACCATTTTTACCTAATAAAGAAGAAGGTTGGAAGGAATATATTAAGCAAAATTTGACTCGAGGGTTTTTTTTTTTTCAAAAAGGGTCGGTTATTTTAGACTTACATTTTCAGAATATGCTGTTTCTAACAGCTGGATCAAATCTTTAACAGATTGGCCGGGTTTGGGTTTGATTTGACCTCCACCATTGAGGCATCCTAGAAAAAAAAAAAAAGTGCAAATATGATGATCGAGGAGTGAATAAACAAATCCATTCGAGGCTCGTAAAATATGCAGGTGTATATATATATATATAAATGCTACCTGAAGGGCATGCCATAATCTCCAGAAAATGATATTCGCACTTTCTTGATTTTAATTTTGTGACAATGTTGCGTAGGTTCCTAAATCCGTAACACACTGCAAATCTCAGCACAGTTTTACCATCTACCTGCAATGCACAGATTGAAATAAATTGAACAAATTGTTAATTGTTAGTCTTAATTAACTTTAGAGAGATATAACTTACTTCAAGAATCACTTCACGAAAATCAGCGTTCTTTATTGTCTTATACTCGAGGGGACCTTCAATTTCCTTCTCGAAAAGCACTTTTGCAGCGTGCCGGAAAATTGTGTCGGCATAACCTCCGGAGCTTCCCCAGACACCATAGAGATTGTCATCTTCATCAACATTTGACAACCTATCGAAGGAAATATATATAAACACTTTATCAGTCCACCTCCTTGGATATCAATCATCAAAGCCTTATTAAATATGATAGCTTAGAAAGAATAAGACACTTACTGTTTATCGACTGGAGATTCTTCCAAGGTTGTAAAATCAACAGATTTCATCTACAATGAGGAAACATGGTCTTCTTTTAGAATCCTAGCAGATTCATACGCAGATAGCTATCATTAAAAAATACCTGAATTAGATCTAAAATCTCTCCGGTTGTCAATACTGAGTCAACCTCTGTAACTCTCTCGCTATCAGAATCCACTTGGAATACAAAGTCATCCCGAGCAGCCTCGAGCTTTTTATCATAACAGGGCATCACAGTGACATGATATATCTCCTCCCTGTACACACACGCACGCGCGTTAATAATATCTTCAATGTTAAAAAAGTAGTCCTCTTTTGATAATGGCCTCAGGCTCCTGTCAATGGTTTCAAGCTATATAGATATGAACTTTTTTATATACATTTTGAAGAATGTGAAACCCAATATGTCTTCATCCAAAGACATCCAAAACCAATTGCGTAAAAAATTCAATAATCTAACTAAGAGGATGGCCTAGGAATAATGCAAACGATAAATCACCTAATATGTAGCTCTTCACATATGTGGTTCTTGATGGTAGCTCCTATAGTTTGTTGTGGACTTTTTACAGAAGAAATATATGGAAGAATATAAGATCCAAGAGTCTTTTCGGCATAGCATATCCAACCTGCATTGCATACGGTAGAAGATTAGAAACACCCAGGTTAAAATTAAAGTTCAAACATTTCTCCCATGCACCATACCTACGCCATTCAAGAAAATATTCTTAATGAGACTCAGTTATTCAGGTGAAACAACTTTAATCAAAATCTGTCAGAGGACAAAATAGTTCAGAAAAATGCATCAGATACCTGGACAAGCCGATGAAATCATGGGAAGAGATGATTTTGACTTATCATCGGCTGAATTTTTATGTTTATAACGTGTTAGGAACTCATTACAAGACTCCACAAGCGTTAAATCTCGACTGCTACTGGTATCAAATACGGCTTTCGCTCCCAAAGACTTCAACAATGTGGTAAGTTTCCGAAAGACCTGGGACAGCATCCAGATTACATAATAAATACGCAAAATTAGGGGAACCAAAAATCTATCACTCAACATGAGCCGTCATTATGTAACATCATACCTGAAGGGGAGAAAGACCGAAGTGAACAGCAAGAGAAGCTCTAGACTGGGGAGAAAGAGACACGATTACAGCTTTTCCTTTGTTGAGGTTCGAAAGAAACTCATCTAAACTCTGCTTCTCAAGCATAACAGTCTCTGCAGATGTTATGCATCCACTGCATGATAAGCAACAACTTTAATTAACCCACCACTATTTCCTTAATAACACACACAAAATAAAAAACAAGCCCTCGGCCGCAGAGCCCAGTACCATTCCGTATATACACCTTAACCGACTAACAATAATATAAAAATCGAAACTTTATTCTACCTGCACGCTAAACAGTCTTTGAGAGATATCTTCACCGGCTCGGTTTGAGTTGCTTTAGGAGTATTCCTAGCTCTCCCTGCATTCTGAAATAACACATGTTACTAGCACCGACAGTACGAGAACAACAAAAGCACCCACATACGTACAACAAATGCATAGTTTGCGAACATTCATAAGAGCCCAAATAGTTTCCATGGAAAATCAAAACAAAAAATTTGATCATTCAATCGAGTTACAATCACGCAATCGGCAAACCAAAGTAAAATGAAACATGAACCACGCACAAAGAACCACCGCTAACTACTAAACTCGTCCTGACAAGAGAACACTGTTTTTTTTTTTTTGGGCAGAAATGCGTGAAATTCCGATCATATATACGCAGCCCAGTTGAGAATCAAATCAGTTTAGGTACCTCAGTTTTGATCACGCAGCCCTGCGACGGTGCTATGTAATCGTTCAAGTCGCCAATTCTTAGCGTGGCTGAGAACTTCTCCGACATCGAACCTATTGGCAATCGATAAAAACTACAGGAAAGAGGGTTTAATTCTAATCAATCGTGGGTTTCAATAAAGAGGTCTCGAGGGAGAATTAGGGCTTAAGGCAGCTGCTAAAAAGGGGAATTGGACGAGGCGGTGTAGATTGTAGAGAAGGCTGTGGGTATGTTTGGTAAGCCAAATAAGCTAGCTTATAGCTTATTTGGTTAGCTTATAAGCTCCCTATTTAAAATAAGCCTCGTTTGGTAGGACAAGCTTTTTTAAAAAGCTCGAGCTTATTTCATAAGCTACTTTAGGTAGTTTTTCAAATAAGCTAGTTGAATTTTTTTATTTCAGCTAGCCTATCAGCTAATTTACCAAACATCTTTTATTATATAAGCTAGTTTTTCAGCTATAAGTCATAAGCTATAAGCTATAAGCTCAAAAATTACATATAAGCTATAAGCTAGCTTATCAGCTATCAGCTAGCTTATCAGCTAGTTTTACCAAACATAGCCTGTGTAATGGTGTTCCCTGCCAATTGATTTTTTGAGCTGACATTTGACAGAGAAAGGTCAAGAGGCCGAGGGACATTTGTAAATGGGATAAATACATACATAACCAACCCTATCTAGATATATTTACATAAATACCAGTGTTTTTCAACCCGAATCGACCCGGGACTCAGTCGACCTGGAGCCGGAACCGGTCCGGTTAGGCTAATTGGACCTTTACCCAGTCGATTCGGGGCATTGACCCAGTTGGGTCAACCCGGTTGACCCGGTGCCTATATATATATATATTTTTTATTTTTTTTATTTTTTGTTTTTAAAAAATAAAACTATGTATATATATTTATATGGTAAATATTTATCATGAAATACATATTATTACCACTTTAATCCACAAATTCTACATACAAAACATTTAATTTTGTTGCTTTATGTATATTTATATGACAAAATACTATATATATAATTTTTAAAATTTTAAAATTAATTATTCGGTTCAGCAGTTGACCCGGAGACCTTCTTGGATCGATTACCGGGCCAGGTTTAAAAACTATTATAAATATAATATGTGGCAAACATAATCAAAAGAGACAATGGTAAACACATTAAACATAAAAAATAAAGAAAAAATATGACGATCGTGATTACCTATAATTCAGGAAATCACGAATTCAAATTTAGAAAACGGGATTATCATATCAACGAATTCTTGCAGTACCAAAAAAAATAATACATAGCAGCTGAAAAAAAAAACGAGGTTGTTCGCGAAAATAGATCGTGAAGTAGCCGAAAATCCAAAGACGTTTGAAGGTATATTAATGTTTATTTAATTAATTTTGTTGTTTGGTGATGAATTACGAAATTATAGGGTGTTCTTTTTTTTTTTTAATTTCAGCTTTCGTTTTGCGATGAATAACAAAAGCTGAAGATAAAAATAAAAAATAAAAAATGATGTTGTTGTTTTTTTTTTTTTTGCTTTAGTTTTTTTCTTTTTTTCTTTGTAATTTCATGTTTTGTTTTTTTATAATTAAACCTTCATCCGTTATTCGTTACTTGTGTTTTTTTTAATTTGTTTGTTTTTTAAGAACATGAATGATGTAAATGTGTTTTTAAATCATAATAGAGTATGGATGAACAATGAATGCATGAAATATGATGTAGCAGGTATTTTGATTAGTTCATCGTGTAACTACAATTAGCTCCAAGATATTGTTTTTGATAAACTGAAGGTAAACGCGTATTCGAATGATCTGGAGATGAAGTATCAACTATCAAGTGAAAGATGGATATCCACCTATGAGTGTGGATGATGATAGCAGCATGCATTTCTATATTTCATTGAAGTAGAAAGAGTGTGATTACACAAAGTTGCCCTTGTGTGTGGTTTTAAAACAATTAATAACTGTCGCCTAAAATAGATAGATTTTATAGAGCATTGGAACATGCTGCAGATACAATGCAGGAAACAGTAAAGTATATGGAAGAAAAAACAGGAGATAAACAACTTCAAACACTTGAATGTGGTGTCGATGGAAGTATGATTTGGGATGTTGTGGTCGGCCAAACATTAAGATATAAAAATGAAGTGATGAAGTTGCTCAGCCACCATGCAATAACAAACCAATATCAGTTCAAAGTGGAGAAGTCTTATCCGAAGCAGTACTACGTCGAGTGCATATGTATGGAATGCAAATGATATGTTAAAGCGTCGAGGGTAGGACATTACAACATTTTCAAGATTTGGGATGTGAGGCGCAACCATTCATGTCCATTTGAGATACGTACAATTGGTCAACGACATGCTACGTCCAACATTGTAAGTGGGTTCATTCGATCGAGATTCACAAATTTGAAGACAACTTAGGTTCCAAAGGACATAATACACAACATGCAAGTTCAGCATGGAATAGAGTTGTCTTACCAGAATGCATGGAGGTCAAAGAGAAAAGCTATGGAAGAAGTGCGAGGTATCCAAACATGTCTTATGGTAAAATTCACGAGTACTTGCAAAATCTTTGTGAATCGAATCCACATAGTGTCATGAAATTGTCTGCCACATCGGACAAGCACTTCATGTATGTATTCATGTGTCTTAATGCTTTAATTAAAGGTTGGAATCATTGTAGACATATTATTGTTGTCGATGGAAATTTCCTTTGTTCGAGATATAGAGAGAGTGAGAGATATATTTTCTTTATTTTTTTGGTTGAGTATGAAGATGGTATATTAATCACGTTTCACGAAATTTTTTTGGGTGTCTTAATCACGTTTCCATTATCTTTAATTAACAACACTTTTAAACGCCTATTCAGCCAAAATTAACCGCCCAAATTTACTAGCTCGTTTTTTTGATGATTTTTTTTTCTTTTTTTTTTATCATAAATTTGAAATTATTTAGGCAATTGATTGTAAGGTGGGTAAGTTTCTCTTGATGCTTAACAAAGTTTATTATTCTTGATGCTTCAATTAAAATAACAAAAAGATGTAAAAAAAAAAAAAAAAGACGTTTTTCAATTCAAGCATTAAATGAGTTATTAATGAAGTAATTAGTATTTACCCTGCTAAATGCAATTATGTATGGTTGAAATATATATATATATATATATATATATATACATATATATATATATATAAGATGCAAAATTTGTGTTCGATACTCGCATGTTATCAC